CCCTTATGTCCAAGAAAGCCCCAGGTGCTGTGAAACCACAAGTCCTGCTTTGCCCACTGGCTTGGGCGAGTGGAGCAGGGCAGGGCTAATGCCACTGCTCCGAGGTCCCTGAGCGAGCAGAGCCCAGTGCTCCTGACCCAGTCCTGAACACGGAACGGCGCTGACCACAAAACACACAAAGCACGCAAACAAAAACTTTCCAAAACTGCATCACAAGATCACACAGAGACAAAACACTGCAGAGTCACAGCCAGCAACTGCAGCCTTTGAATTCTTAAGGGAAGTACTTAGGAAACAATTCCCAGCCCAGCGCTGGTGCACACCTGTGCCTGTGGCACAAGCACCTTCAGCAATCCCTGTGCTCAGGTGTGTAATTAAAGAGGGACCTGTCCCACCTTGCTGTGTGCATGGGAGGGTGTGGAGAGGAGAAGGTTTAAAGTGGGTGAGATGATTAATCACAGCAGCAGGACCACGGGAAGACCCAACGTTGCCCTGTTTGTGGGAATGCAGCAGGAGCAGCTCCCTTGTGATGGGGATGGGGAAGGGGAAGCGAGGGAAGCACCTTGTTTGCACAACCCTGGAAGCTGGACCTTGGAGCCTTCCCTGCTGCTCCTGCAGGACTTGTCCCACAAGGAGGGACAGACCCCCCACAACAGCCCGACCCTGACCTCGGACAGGGCAATCCCCCCCTTTCCTGGCACCCTGAGTGTCCCTTCCCCTGGGAATAACAGCAGACAGGCACAGTTGGAGCCTCTCCCCCAGGAGTACACATGGCACTACCAGATCCCTGCTGTAAACCATCAGCCACACCAGAACAAATACCAAACCCCACTGTTTTAAAAAAGAACTCATTTTTCTGACTCCTAACCACACTTGGACTGTTGGAAGTCACCTCAAGTGTTCTGCCATCCCACCACGTCATTCTCTAAACCAACCAGACCCCTCACCAGCAGCAAACGCTGAAAATGGGCTGGAACAAGAGTTGTGGCTTCTGTGGAGCAGCACTTGACCCTTCCCACAACAGATGTGCACCCAAACTCCTCATTCCCAGCAGAAGCATCGCATTGATACATTCCCTGGGAACTGCATATCCCATCTGGGGCTCAGAAGTAGCCTCAATTTCCTCCTCTGGCAACACAGATCCAGACTTTTTCACAGCAATAGATGAAAATAAAAAGCCACTTCTGCAGATTTGGCTTTAACATAACCCATCCCTCATTGCTCCTGGCAAAACCTCCTGAATGCATCCTGATAGCTCAGCCACAGATTGTTCTGTTGTTTCCTGCCTTTAACTTCACAGTGAACCACCAAAAAAAATACAATAAATCAAATTCTGCAGCCTCAATGCAGAAGTGGCTCATAACCCCAAAAAACCTCAAGGATTCACAGACCATTTCTGATTTCTGGACTTGCTGTTGCTCATAAGCTGCACAAGCACAGAGTGGGTTTTCTCTCTGGCTGCTCCCTGCTTCTCACACGGTGCCTCTGCCTGTGCCATGATCCATGGCTGGAACCAGAGAAGCCGAGATCCGCTCCTGACTCCTGAGCCAGGCCTCAAGCAGCTCCCCAGGCCCTGGCAGATCCCAGGGGATGCTTGGATGCCGGCAGGGAGCTGAGCCTCCCAAACCCTGGCAGCCATCACCTCTTTGTGAGCCCACCATCTGCTCTGGCAAATCCACACTCCCATTTTCCCCCTCCTGCATCTTTCTCATTCCACCAGCCCGCTGTCAGCACTCCCAATTCCCATCAGCTTCCCACTGGGATTTATTTTCCTGCCCAGTGCCCTGAGAGTTGTTACACCCTGGCACATTCACCCATCGAGAGAGACTTAAGTTGTCTTTCAAGTTCCTCCTCCTGTGGCTTATCCCACTCTATCCCATGCTGTTTCCTGCTCACCTGCAGCCATCGGTAATTGGAATCTGTGCTGCCTCCACACCCAGCAGGCCCTGCTCAGCCTGGGCAGGAGCAACACCGTGACAAAGTTCACATTTAACTGATAACAGACTGATGGCAGTTCAGGTTACCTGATAAAACACCACATTCCAATGAATTTACTGCCAGAGGCATCTTTACCACTTCATGGAGTAGCACTTCCTCTCTTTGGAAGAGAAATGGCCCAAAACAATGAGTGCCAGCTCAGAGCAGGTGCCAGCTCAGGACGTACCAGGTGTAATGTGGGAATTCCAGGGAATGCCTGGTTTGTACCCCATCCAAAATTGTATCTTTGAGACACTTGAAATGCAGAACTGACAGAAAAAGCTGTGACAGGCACCTCAGGAGCAAAGAGCTTTGGGAACAGGTTATCCAAACAGCAGGACTTAAAAAAGAAATAAAATAGGAACCTGAAATCGGGTAGAGAAAAGAACAAAGGTGCCGGCCCAGCAGAGCATTTATGATTCTATTCTGGGAATGAGCTCTGGGGGTGGAGAGCAGTTCAGCAGTTCCTGTGTCAGGAGAGATCCTTACAGACGAGGAGCCTCAGCAGGACTAGTGATCAGCCTGCCTAGTCCTAGGGCCAGGGACTGCCTGAGGAAGGGAAAATATGGAGCATGCAGACCTGACTGAGGACAGGATTCTCCCCATAAACAAGGAGGGCAAACTCCTACATTAGAAAATTCCCATGTTCTAGCATTGGAAGAGGTGAGGTTTTCTCCACCCTAAAATTCATCCGTCTGGTCCCTACAGCCTGTCCCAGCCTGTCTCCTGCACCCTCTGACCTCTCCTTGCAGGGACACCCAGCAGCTGCTTCTCATCAAAACCTCGACACAAGCTCCTCACCTGGAGGAGTCTTGTAACACAGACTCCAAAACATAGTCAGCACGTGAGGAACAGTCACAAAGCCCCTAAACGGCAGCAGGTGGCACACAGAACACATTGGCATGCCCCACAGTGTGCAGCCAGACCAGTGTCACTGGCACAAATCCCAGCTGTACAGGGAGAAACATGTTCAGGGGCTGGGACTTGGGCAGGGGAAGGGGGGTAGTTCCAGTGTCAGCAGCAAGAGCCATGGTACTGACCACAGAATATGAGTGACAGCTGTGACAGTCACTGTCCTTCACACACATGTCTGTTCACATGTTCAAAACACAGCAACAGGTCAGAGTCAAAAGGATGGTGTGGCTCACTCTGGCACCATGGGACCACTCCAGGACCATGGCACCATGGGCACTGTCCCAGGGAAAGGCAGGGAAAAGACACCATCGTGCTCAGGTGCTGTCAGGCAGTGGCAGATCTGCTTCAGCTCACAGGGTGTTCAACTGCACTGACCCTCTGCACTGATCTGAGCCCCCTGTGGGCACATCCATCCCACTCAAACAAGGGCTCAAACTGTTTAATATATCAAAAGAGAAGAACAAAGCTCAACCCAAGGGTAGATTTACGTTTCAGAAAGGGAAATGTGTGCCCCAGGGCAGGGTGAGCTCTCAAATGTCTGTGGGCCTCTGCCACCAGCACAACCTGCAGGTATCCAGTTGGGTTACACTGGTAAACGGATCAAATTCGGCCAAAAGGGGCAAGACACATCCCTCTGAACAGTCAGGCTGCGTATCAACTGTGTCACTTGGCACTGGACACAGATCTCCTCCACACCTCCCAGTACAAACCAATTGCTTATGGATCCGGAGCATTCCCGGCAGAGGCCGAAGAGGCCCAAAGCTGCAGCTCCAGAAGCGCAGCAGTGAGAGATGATGCCAAAAAATGGGGAAGAGAAAAAAAACAAAAGTCCAAGAGCTTCAACCAGCAAATTCCACAGGCGACCCCAGATTCAGCAGTGTCACCGCCAGCCACGACAATGCCAGCGCAGGGCACGGACACCCGGCTGCACACCTGCCCTGGAAAGTCACCCCGCAGCTCTCCCACCGCTAGAAGCTGCCCGGGCCATGGAGCCCTCCCAACGCAGCACAGCTTCCCCGTGCCGCCAGCCTGCAGCGGTTTGATGCTGGACAGGGAAACAGGCAGCACTCAGCCCTGGCGGTGCCGCCTCCAGATAGCCAGAAAGTCTCTCCCCTCCCCTCCCCTCTCTTCTCCTCTCCCAGCCCACCGGCCCCTAGCTGCGAGCACAGCAGCCCGAGGAGTTCCGCCGCAGCTCCCTCCGGCACGGCCCCCTCGCATCTCTGCTTCCCCCAACTCTCAGGGGTGCCCAGCTCACACGCCCCTCACAGCCCGCTGCAATGTCTCATCCCACCCCCTCGGCCCTCGATTCCTAGCCGGGGAGCCTCCAGCTCCGGTCCACGCCCCCGGGGCACAGACCCCGGCGTCCCCCGCAGCTCTGCAGCCCCAGGAACCCCCGGCATCCCTTTGTCCCGCAGCCCTCTCGCTGCGCTCCAGGAGCACATCCA